ATATCTTGGTGGTAGTTTGAGTTGAGTGTTTTTCAGGACACTTTAACAGGTTTCTCATATTTTGCAGGGATCACCTGATGCTTTTCTCCTCCCCTTTGGTCCTACAGAACTCCTGCAGGTCACTTACTGATTGTTGTTCTCTCAAGCTCCAGGTGTTTGCATCCTCACATCTTGCATTCAGCCATGTCCTGTTCATTTAAGAGCCCAACCACTGTCTGTCGGGACTTGCTAGAACATCCATCAGTGCTTTCCTACTGACAATGGAGGAGAGATAATAGCCTTATCTTTTAAGTCCAATTTCAAGTGGAAATGAGGCTTGGCTTGAAGAAAGATCCCATTGTACATTGTTTATAATTGGACTAATTAGAGAAGGCCTTAACTGTACAGATCATTAAGAGCAGATTATTTTGCCAACAGTCTTCAAATGGCAGGATAATTTCTTACCCTGGTGACAGTCTTCTTTGATACTCTCTTCTTGTCTAGTTCAAAATTAGTCCACTTTTTATATTCCTTCCCTGGGCTGTACTGTCTCTTGCATGGCAGACCTGACATCATTGTTTAATGTCTCACAATATCATCATCTTTCAGCAGCACGTTCATGTGCTTCAGTTGGAATCTCACATAAAGAGCCGTCCCCCTGCCACCACCTCGGAAAGCCCAAGTCATATATTCAATTCTCTTTGTCACCCAAATACAGTTAGGAAACACAAACAGCAATATCGGCTTGTAAGTGACTGTGAGAAATCAGAACTGCAAGGTTATGGTGGTGTAAATCTGTGAGGATTAAGCCATCCCGCTGTGTGGATATTCAGAAGCACTCTGGAGACAAGATGATCTTTTTGCTTTATTCCCCAGCATGGGGGAAAGGGGAGGATAAAGTTTATTTGTATCATCTTTTAGTCAAGTGCTTTGAGGTTGCACTGCTTGTGGAATGGGGAATACTGGGCGTTCCTATCTCTGCAGTGTCAGTGATGGTCCAGTCTTTATGCCGTGAAGCAGTTTAGAAATGGTAGTACTTACAGGACCATTCTCCCAAATATATTGGCCTACACGTTCATGTTATCTTCTAACTTTCTGAAGGCATAAGTCCGCTGACAGCTGTGTTGTTTTCTGTTAATGGTTTCCTTTCTCATTACTTCTGAAAACTGTCTGTCCTCCTACCAAACCCATGACACAGGAGAGAGACAATTTAATCCTCACAGCACTGATACTTCGCTGTACCTTGGAATGTAATGGTTAATATCTGAAAACTTTCATGTTCATGAAACTGTGAAGAAGAGTTTATCTCATTAGGAAACAGGTTCCTCTTACTTCTTAGAAAAGATTTCTCTCCCTAGGAACCAGAGATGGCTCTCCCCTTGGTGGGAAGGGGCAAACTCACTTTGTAGACTTGAAAGATGCCAAGACAGTGAAGTATGAAATTACAGGTGGGAGTTATCCTACTTTAGGTATCTACAGCACAGATGCTTATATCTCATCTAGTCATCTTGGATTCCCTTAATAGTCAAGAAGAGGAACAGTTACTTTGGGGAGGCATAATCTCATGAGATACTCTCTCTTCTCCTGACTGATGCTTTTCCTCTGCTTTCTGAGATGCCTGACTTAGTTCCTCTGGGTCCAGATCAAGAAGACTCAGAGGAAATCCTGAAAGTCCATTGAAATACTCTCAAACACATTTCATATAGGCAGTGAAATGCACACAAAATGCAAAGGCATAGGACTGAAAGGGGTCTCCTCTGTTAGAGTCCAGGCTTCTGCTGTCAAGGGCAGCCACATTGTGTAAACCTTCATACACATTTACTGAGTTCTGTGGATAGCTGTGAGGCTTCTTCTCCTTAATACTCCTGCCGGGAGGCTACTCCAAAACTTTATTCCTTTGATCCTGGAAAATGATTTTTTTTTTCTTTCTAATTTCCAGCCAGAATTTATTCATGCTTGGTTTATGTCCATTTGTTCTTATGCCAGCATTATTCTCTTTAGCTTAAATAGCTGTTTTCCCTTCTCACTGTTTATCTGTTTCGTGAATTTGTGAAAAACAATCATAGTCTTTTCAGCCTTGGATGTTCTAGAGTAGACAAACCAAGCTCTTCTCATTTCCTCAGATGTAGAAGGTGCCTCATCCAAATTATACCAGCTGTTTTCTGCCACTTCAAATTCCTCCTTTCCTAAGCCTGGGAGAGTAGAGCACATGCAGTTCCATATGAGCTCCTAATTTTTACAGTTATATTAGTTTTTACTTATACTTGCTGGACACTTCACATGAGACCTTTGCAGATCATTTGCTTTTGTCATCCTCAGAGCAAGTGATCAATCACTTCAGTATCCTTTCCATTTAATAAAGTTAGATGTTTGCTTTTGTGATCTTTGTTCCAAAGATTATGAAATGCAAAATATAATTGAAATAAAAACAATAAAATTGAATCCCTCTTTTCCCTCTGAATTTATATTATATGAAACCTTATAGGCCTAACTTAAACCATTTCCAGGATTCGCATCTGTTCCTACATGCCTTGGAACCAAACCCAGGAGACATTTTGTCTTTGGCTCGCAGTAAGAGTCTATCTTCTTCCCACTGCAGAAAATAAGAGTCTGCTCCAGGGATTAAACACTACTTGTTGGCTTAAAAACCTGGTGGTATCCAATCCCTCTTCTCTCATCCTTCTGTAGTGGTGTCTTCAACTTCCCATCACCCAGCTCTTTTTGGTTGTCATCACACTCCTGTCCAGGTCAACACCACAGCACCTTTGCGAGGAGTTTCCTGCTTGGCGTCTCCAACTGCAAGACAGAAAAGAACTTTTTAGGATGAGTTATAAGAGTTCAAGGAGTAAAAGCATGAGGTGTGCTCAGTGATGATGCACCAGTCAAGCTCTAATGGAGCCATGCAGAATACACATAAAGTGAGGTTTCTTCTGAGATTTTTCATCTAGAGAAACTTAGGCAGATTTATAAAAAGAGGAAAAAAGTCCTGTCTCTACCGTCAGGATGGTCCCATCCGAACTGAATTTGTCTGCTCCAAAGTGGGATTGTCTACCTGGCTAAGTAATTTTAGGAGGTTGCTTTAACAAGTAATACACTTCTTCCTCTCTCATTCTCCAAAGCAGCTGAACGCTTTCAGCTTATACTGAAAGTAAGTAAAAAGAACAAACACATAAATTAGCTCTAGCATGGGGAAAAAATCAGATTAAATGGTTAAAAATTTGGCACTGTTGTAAGTAACTGAAGGCAGGATGTTAAAATGGAGAATTTTAAGAAGCCTTGCCTATAAATAGCTCTTCTGTAGGATAGAAATACTAATATAGTGTATAAATATCAAAATACACGCACACAAGCATGCTCACACGTACACACACATGTTATATTTCCCCCCCCCCAGAACACATATTTTAAAACACGGAAATGCTACAAAGACATTTGTAAATGAAAAACATTTTTAAGGTCCCTTTAAAGGACTTTTCCCTTACTATCTTTGTTCTTTTTTCCATTTGCTCCCTGTAAATCTGTCACTTATTAAAAGGAAAAAAAAACCCAAAACAACAACAAAAAAAAATCCTAGAAAAGTTGCTAAGTTCACCAGAAACAATTCTTTATTTAAAAGGCATTTCTCAATGACCTTTCCCTAGCGCAGGACGCACGATGCCGTGGTGTGCTCTACATGCTGACTCAGCACTTCTTGGGCAAACCCTCGTGCATCATGTGGTCAGCCAGACGTTGCATCCACACATCCCCTCCAGTACTCTTCACCATCGCGTTGTGACCCTTTAAGACAGGATAAGTCTGTGTTGTTTGCACAGTTTCACAAACCCGTCTGGCAAAGCTGAGGACCTGAAGAAATTCAAACTATGTGGCGGGATTGCACAACACACGTATAAATAGAGAGGGCCTTAAAACGGGGCTCAGGAAGACTGAATTGTGTTCCTGGTATTATCAGTCCTGCTGAGTGACCTTGACAGTCACACTTCAGTCCCGCGTACTTCAGTTTCCTAAGCTGTAAAATGTGTCCTACATTCCTGATGGCTTCTTGGGAAAGATTTTTGAGCTCTGCAGGTAAAAAGCCCCCAGAACTGTATAAGCTAAGCAGCCTCCCTCACACCACTGCTTACTGTGGAAATTACTCTGTTATTTTCTTGGGGGGGAAAGAAAGGGATGGAAGTCTCAGCGGGAGGTCATCTGATGAGAAAATCAAAGCCTAGTGAGCAGATGGGGAGCTTGGTGTTTGTCCCCCCTAAGTTTTATTGCCTATAAAAGAAATGCCTGCCTCTGTGCCAAGTTCTCTCTAGTCACTGGGGAGAAATGGGTGTTCCCAGAGCTCATCAGTATGGGCATCTAACACACACGGGGGGACTTATGCCATGGGACAGTCTGTCTCTGCTGACTACAGAGAACTGAAGGTATCTGCGTTATAGATGAATTGTAACCGGATGAGATGAATCCCACCCAAAATTAATACAGTAATTGGGTGCTCTCCAAATATTTTCTAACACAGGAAATGTCTTCCCTTTCCAGCCAGCTTTGACTGCTTACCAGTCTGAGGTCTTGGTATTGCTAAAAGCCAGCTGCTTTATCCCGCTGTGTGTTAGGAACTTTAACCCTACCTGTGATTTAGGTAACCCCAAATCTTGGTCTTACAAAGCAAAGGCTTTGAGAGACTTCAGAGGGCAGGGTGGGGTTTACAACCAGCGAAGCAGGAAAATCTCATTGCCTCCCTGAAGCTCACCATTCCCCCGATCCAATTAGTGAGGCTGTGCTGTGAGGACCTCCTGGGAAACAGCAACCCACTGAGTGGTCACCACCATCCTCATACCAGACTGGGACAATTCACTCCAGGTGGGAAGACACCAAGTGGGAGTGGAGAAATAAACTGAAGGCAAAGGGGGAAAAAAAAAAAAAAAAAAAAGAAAAACAAAGAAAAGAAAAACAAAAAGCTGTTTAATTAGCCCCTTTCCAGGCTGTGTCGGTTTGTCTTTGCGGTGCAGTTGAATGTGTGGCTGTTTGCCTTGCAGAGGGATGCCCTGGCTTGTGTAACGGCAACGGCAGATGCACTCTGGACATGAACGGCTGGCACTGTGTCTGCCAGCTGGGCTGGCGAGGAGCGGGCTGCGATACTTCCATGGAGACAGCATGCGGCGATGGGAAAGACAACGACGGAGGTAGGACATGAGCACATGTGATATGTCAGGCTTCGCAGAGCCTATAAACCTTGCACAGTGAACAGTCAGCTGGGCTTGATTCTGCAGGGCAGATTGTTTTCTGACAGCTGGTGGAGAACAGACAGCGAAGTCTGCCAGGCTGACTCAGCCAGAGTGGATCTGAATTCAAATAAAATGGATTTGGGCTTGGGGTGCCAGGGCTGAAGAGGGACATTTGTTTATCCTCAAATCAAGTCCTTATACCAGAGAGCAGGCAGAGGCTATGCACTTGTCCTGTCACTCCACCCCAGCCCAGCCACCCAGCAGTGACACGGTGGGACCACCTCGGACACCAAACACCCCGACTGTTCGAACTTTGGCCTCAGTGCCTGAGGTTTTCATCAAGGCTCTCTGGTAGGTCACTACTGACTTGGGGTGGATGTTTTGCAGAAACTTAGAGTCTTTGGTGACTGATCCCCATGCCCACAAGCCATCCAATCCCTCTTGAACCATGTTTTATTGATTACAGTTCCATATGTAATGATGTCAGGCATGTGAATAATAGCTCTGTGTAATGCAAACTTAATATTCAGAGTTATCTCATTACAAAGGAAACCCTGGTGCAGTGTGAAGGTTTGAATTAGAGGGCAGGAGATGAGATATTAAATTTAAGGCATAAGGGAGACTGCATAATTTGTTTTGTTGTCACTCAGCAAAAGGCTTTGTAAACCACAAGTCTGGGCCAGGACCCAGACCATGAAGTGGAGACTGCATTTTGCAAGCCTCTGTTTTATCATATTCACAAGAACAGTACAGTTAAAAAAAAAAATAAAATAAAAATAGCCAAGCCAAGACTGTGATTATCTGCTTCAGAGCAACTGGGATTCTGATTGAATATTTAAAATACTTCTGCACATCTGGCATGGCAAATGGACCAAATTATCCCTTTAGAAAAGATGGAAAAAATTGGAGAACCGTACAAAGAGTACACACTATAAAACAAAGGTTGCTTTTTGCCTCACATGAAATTGAGTATCACTGTACTCGTCTTTCGTATTTACAGCTGACACAGAACAGCAATAAAGTCCATCACATCAGATGTGTAAAAATATGGTAAATAGAGACAAGGATAATCCCAGTTTCCGTGGGAAAAAAAAAAAAAAAAAAAAAAAAAAAAAAACGCTGTGAAGTTTTTAGAAAGAGAGAGGGAAGAAGGAGTAATTCAGCCTAGTGTACAATGTAGACCACATTGGTATTACATCAAAAAGAGCATGCCCAGACTCTGAGAAGGCTGATGGAACACCATCTCCTGGTTCAAAGTGCTAATGTTGTAACTGGGTTCCCCTCACCTTGAAACGAGCCGTTTGTCACCTTGCTAGCCTGCAGGACAGCCGATGTAGACGGGAGAGACAATAGGCACCGACATGTTTACGAGTTACTGCACATCAGCTGCTCCCTTGCATTTGGTGAACTTGTGTGGAGCAGTGGTGTACGCGTCTAGAGCAGAGCAACTGATAGGTTGTAACATCCTGCCTTGTGACAGCTTACTCATGTGTCAGAGCCCTCAAATGAGTGTTGACTTTACTCTTGGTACACCAAAAGAAAAAAAAACAAAATACATGTACCTGGTGTGTGTTACAGTTTACAGATAATCCGTGTCATACGCTGTTCTATTCCCTTGATTTTGCTACATTACTGCTAAAGATTCTTCTCAGCTGGGAAGTGGAACAGTGGAATACGTTTACCTCCTTGACTTGATTTTTATACATTTTTATGGATCGTTTGTATTTGTAGGCTCAAATCTAGAATTTCAACCCCTGAGATGTAGGAACATCAGCAGTGGTGCAGCATTTCTGCTTTGAAGCCTGAGTTCCTTGTTCAGCACAGGGATTCAAATATAATTACATGGATTGATGAAGAAAGGCTGATTCTGGACCCGTTTCCTAGTTTTTTATGATGATTTCTGTAGCAAGACAGCTGAAGAAGACATTTGTATTAGTCTATGGAATAATTTAGGTTGGAAGGGACCTCCAGCAGGTTCAACTCCCCACTCAAAGCAGTTCTAATTACATCAGGTTGCTCAAGGCTGTGTCCAGTCAACTCTCAAACATCTCCAAGGATGAAGGGAGATATCATGTCTCTGGGCAACCTGCTGCAATATATCACCATCTTTATAGTAAACTTTTTTCTCCTAATATCTAATTATAATTTTCCATCTTCCAACTTAATGTCTGTTGCCTTTTGTCCAGCACCATCTGAGACATCTAGAGTGCCCCGGCTGGCTTCTGGCTTCCCCTTCACAATAGCTTACATCTCTAGTAGAGCAAATGTATACTCTTTGTGCGTGACAGCTGCCTTTGGATTTCTCATATATCCGAAGGCAACTCAAATGACACTAAGCACCTGTGTTCAGAAGCACAAATTGCGACCATATTCGATGCAGCCACTTTGTCACCACAAACATTATACCTTGGCAAACTGCTGGGCTTTGAAGAGCACTGAAGAGATGTAGGCCTGAACAGCCTCTTGAAAGAGTGTGTAGTATGTGTATGAGCACTATGGTTTCTCCCTCTTTTGGGATCCTGTAACAGTCTCTGGAGTGATACACACTCAGGGCTGGTTTGTTTTGGTTCACCATAAAGGATTTCAGGGCAGTTGCTGAATTTATCTTCGTGTAGACATGAATGTAGGCAATGGAGATGATAGTCCTTTCATGAAGCTTTAGAACTCAAACATATGAGCTAGTCACTGTGGGTACCATCAGCGGCAAGAAACAGATTTAGGGCATCATCTCTTTGAGCTATTTCTGATATCTGTCACCTCATAGGTACCTACTTTTGGTTGGTCACTGCTGCCCTTCGAGTCACTTTGTGCTCAGAGCAGCATCTCTTGAAGCTGAGACACCACGGTAGGGCTGTTCACCCTGCGAGGGTTTCACTCTGCCTGAGCTCAGCGGAAGCTGGTTCCCACACTGTGGTATCGGGTGTCTGCTAATCATGATCCCTGCAGCCGGAAATTCCTCAGGATAATGGGAGCTGAAGTCAGAATCTTTTTCATCATATCCCAGCCTAATCATACCCTGAGGGAGACGGGTACCAAATTACAGGGTGTGTTTGCCTCTTAAATCTGGAGGCTGTTCAGATAAACAATAACAAGCTAAGCAGAAGTCACTCAGAGAGAGACTCAGTGAAATGTAATCTCCACTCAGGCTAGAAAAAAGGTGTCTGGGAGAGCAGTCCCCTCTCCACACCAAGTGTCATCTGTCAAAGCTAGCATTTAGGTTTCACACCGAGGTCCACTTTATTTACACTTTTAAACACAAAGCCCATCAACTTGAAAGGAGTTGTAGCAAGTAACCGAAAGCAGGTGATCATCCAGTATCAGTCAAGGGAAACCAGTGCAGTGACAGAGCTTTAACAGTCTGGGTAAAAGGCTAGGGTTTTGCACATTTGACCTAAGAGGCCACCTGTATCACAACAAATGAGAGGTGTTTCCTTAAAACAAGCTTGAGAAAAGTGGTTCTTGCCTCTCTTTGGCAGAAAATAACCTCTGTAATTGATGGCTGCAAACACTCAGTACCTGAGAGTAGTCCTGTCTAACCCCACACTGAGCTCTTTGTCATGTGCTTGAAGAATAAGAAGTTTGAAGGTTTAAAATACCAAGGAAATTATCTTCTGTGACAAGTCCTAGAAGTGGACTTAATGGCATTTGACAAAGCCTTGAGAAGAGGCTGATATTCCATAGGCTAAATAGGGGCTCTGTTGCATTTGTAGACTCCTCTGTTAGGAACAGAGTATTCAGGAAAGATGGAGGGGGAGAGGAGAGGATCTTTTTCACAGTCTCACAGATATGCTGTTGGGCAGCAAGGCTGTAGTAACCATCTTTGCTCTGCAGAAATCATCTGAGTATATGACTCCCTCCATATTGAGAACCATTTTCCATTTACCTGTCTGGATACACCACACTGTCCTGGAACCATGAGAGAATTACAAACATTAAACTAAATTGCTCTTTTGGTCTAGAAGTTCTGTCTAATCGACACAGTAGCTTCACTTGAGGGCCTTTGTTATTGTTTGGGGCTTTTCCAGAGTAGCCAAGTCTTCCAGAGAGGGTAAAAGCTTGCTATTTCTCTGGGAAATAGAACTGACCAAATCCTTCATAACCTGCTGTGAATATTCCAGTTGCTAAACAGCTGCTGAACTCTGCTCATAGTGAGTCTACTTTACTTGTGAAAGGCAAGAGTCTTTCTCAGATGAAAAATATGTCTGGAATATAAACGTTCCTAATATTATCTAACCACACATATTCATTAGAGGTTGATGCTCAGTTATCTGCTGCCTTTTCCCAATTTAAACACATTCAAATGCTTGTGTTAGTGATTACTGCAGGGTAATTTAAACAGATAGACAGATTAGATAGATAGATAGATAGATAGATAGATAGATAGATAGATAGATAGATAAACTTCCGAGTTGTATAAAGTTGGCCTATCCTGATGTATATTGCACACCCTTACATGGAAGTACAGCAACTTCATTTTTCTTACATCACCTGGTCAGTGATCTTCCTTTGGGAGTGAAGAAAATAAACCATCCTGTTCTATTTTTCTGCAAGAATTGTAGTAGTGAACCTTCTGCCCCTCACTTTATGTCTCATTTGTGACAGCTACATGCAATGCATTTAGCTTAGCACGAACACAGGGTTCCAATGTACATGTGCCCCATTTCGCCTTTGCAAGCTCAGTCTGTGCTCAACCAGATGCTACCCCAGAGCTAGCAGGTGGAGCAATCCTTATGCTTTCTTTCTCTCTATCCTCCTGGCCCAGAACAACTAGAAGTTGCTTTAGTCTTCCAACCCTGGAGCAGCGAGCAGGTCAGAGCCACCAAGCTACTGCACGCAGGATTTTCACCTTTCCTTGCAGCCCTGAGCATTAGTTATTGCTGCCACTAGAAACTCTCACTTCAGGGACGATGTAATTCAGGAATGTGTTCTCTGAGATAAATCAATGCTGTTTAACTGTA